ATAAGGGGAGGTGCTCTGCAGAGCCACAGGAGAGGTAGCTCCAGGAGCCAGCCCGAGCTGGGACTGAGCAGTCACAGCCCGTGCTGGCTCCAGGACCATTGCAGCTCTGCATTTTAAATGTAGTAAGAGTTGGTGGCTCTTACTACATTTAAAAAGGCAGAGCCTCCGCGGTTCCGGACCAGCACAAGCTGGGACTACCAAGGTCACCACAGATAGGGGTTGCTGCTGGAGCAGCCTCTATTCGCAGTGAGCCTTGACCCTCCATGGGCAGAGGCTACTTTACAGAAGCCTTCTCTACCTTCCCCCCAGCTGCCTCTGATAGAGTTTAGGCTTCTCAGGTAGTTGAGTATTCGACTATCACTTACCTACTCACTCCAGTAAACAGGAGGAGTTCTCCTGTTGCTGTAGTTAACCCACCTCCCCAAGGCGAGGTAGCTAAATTAAATGAAGAATTCTTCTATTGGGCCACAGAACTGGAAATCACACTAAAAGAACACATACAGAGAAGCCATCTGACAATACCTGTAATCAATTTCACAAAAGCACAGGCTTTTGGACTGGTCTATGCTGAAAACTTGCGCCTGAAAGAGGGAGCTATACCAGTGTGTGAAAAATGTATCGGGAATGTGGATTTTTCACATCCCTGAGAGATCTGCTGACAATCTCTGGTGTAGACAATGGTGGCCCAATACTAGCAATAAACTTTGTCAAGTTCATGTACTGAACTATGGACTTGTAAACATCTGCTTTAATACATGGCCTGACTGATTCACAGCCTCTGGGTTAGGCATCAGAACTTGCGCCATGCTCAGAGCTCCAGAACTCTACAACAACATGAAATCCAGTCAGTCAGCTAATTAGATTATCAGATGATTAGTGGGATAGTCAGAATGCAATTAGCTCACAGCTGTAGAGTTTCAGTAACATTGTATAAAATAATTCTGCTCTTGACCTTGAAAAACAGTTTAATACAATAAAAACGAAATACTCAGTCTTAATTATCACTGTTCATACAATCATCATGACTGGCTTTTTCCAATTGTATTATAGTTAAATGACCAAAAAGCCATTTCCTCCCAGAACAGAGAGGAAAAGTTACCTAATAGTTGAGAGAGACCCCTTTTCAAATATATGGTTTAAAAAAAAGACTTCAGACACCTAGTTTGGTGGTCCAGATAGAAAATAATGTACCTAGAAAGTACCATGGGTGAAAATTCTTGTTGTAAGTTAAATACCAAATACAGTGATTGGAGAAGGAGAAACAAGCAAGAGAAAACATCTGTAACCCCTTACCAAAACATCACCTACTTATAGAAAGATATTTATTTATCTTAGGAAACACTTTCTACAAACCTGATTAATAAAACTTGAGCCAACAAAGTCTTAAGCACGTACATAACTCTAACCATGCAAACAGGATTCCCTCTAACTTGTTCTTTCAACCTGAATTCGATTGACCTACTCAAGCACGTGCATATATATCTATAAGCATGTGACAAGTCCCTATGATTTCTAATTGGAAGAACAATTCAATGAGACGATGCACATGCCTAAAGACACCCAGGAGCGTAAGTGTTTTTGTGGATTGGGGCTTCACTAGCTAAAGGCACAGGATCCAAAAGTGACAGTTTCCACTCCCTGCTTTACTTTTACATAATCACTACAGCAGGATAGAATTGTGTGTAACTTTATGTAGTGCAATATTCCTTCTGCCATTCCAGTGATATTTTTCTCACTCAGGAAAAGTCTGAACTTTATCAACTATTGGCTGAATTACACAATCTTCAGTTCCAGATGATTTGCCAGTATCAATGACATTTTGTCACTGGAAATGCTTTTCTGTCATTTACAAAATTGATACTCTACCTCAAGTGATGATTGTTGTTGCATATACTATTTAATAAGGTAACAAGCAAGAGAGGCTGGTTTTTCCAATAAACCCAGATAACTTGCAAGTATAACCACCACCAGACAGATTTGAACCTAGGACCTCTGGAGCTTAGTGTAGAGTCTCTACAGCTTGAGCTATAAAGCCAACTGGCTCTCACCAAAGGCTATAGATTTCCTTGTTCTTATCTCTTGCTGTAAGTGGTGTAACTGCCACTACATGGGACAGTGGACCACACCCATTAGGTGTGTAGATTATATAAGCAGATGGACTCCCACAATATTTTATGTACAATTCCACCATATAGTTTTGCCTGTTTATTGCAGCGCTTTCAACTTCACATTTTTCACTGTGTTTAAGTCACTGTTTTCCTTTTGCTGCACTGAAGAAGATGTGGCAGGAAAAATGCTGCAGTCCCATCATCTGGTAGAACATTAAGGAAATCCCTTAGCTCCAGTTCCATGGCAACAATGGATAAAGTTTCTGCAGAGGGAGAGAGAACACTGTTTAAAATCATCTATATTAAATGCAACATATTACAGATATGATCTTAAGCTTAACTAACTCAGCAAAATACTAAATGTTGTGATGACAGTAGATTTAACAGAAAGACCGGAATAGCAACAGATGGCAACTGGGAAAGTTTGAGAAGTGACTGTTGCAGTTCAGGGTTGTTTAGGGATTTAGTGCTGTGTTTCAGTACTATAATGCCTCTCTGAACTCATCACCTCAACATACAACACCAAACCTTATGCAGGTCTCTTCTAGCACCTTCCACACCTCATAACATTGAAAGGAAGCGTTAAAATAAAGCTATACTGACGATGTAACCTAGCACATAACATATTAGGAGCAACCTAGGAGACAAAGTTATTTGATTAGAGGGTTTCCTGGGTCAATTAATACCAATTACAATGAGATGATGAGACAATGACCGTCTGAGACAATGACCATCTGAGACAATGACCATCTGACAACTGAAGTTTACCATTTTTTGTGATTCTTAAAGTGAGCGCTGTCCTGCTCTCTACAGCAATTTAGTAGTGACCCTCCTCTATTCACTCATTATGCAGGAGTTGTAAAAGGTCTTGTTATGAGGAAAAAATGACTACTTTATTCAGCATTCTGAACTGGCTATGAAAGAGTCAAACCACCTAGTCTATTATTATTTCCTCCACAACAATGAGTAAGGGGACAAGGGCAGCTGTCATGGGTGGTCACTGCCTCTTCTGCCAAGTTTCCAGAGGAAAAGGGAAAAAAAATTCCAGTCTCAGGAAGAGGAACATCAAAAAGTCATTGGGCCACTTCCTTTGGCTAAAGATCTACCCCCATCTCCCAAACAAATACAGGACTGCTTCCTTCTGCATAATTCTAGTGACCAAAAGCAACACAGCATAGTTCCCATTAGCCAAGAGTTCAGCTAGGAAGAGAGACAATCCTTAATGTCATTAGACTCTGCACAACAATGCAGTTTTAAATACAAGCCAGGCAGTTATTTCTCCAGGAATTCCTTTCTCCCGGCTTGGCTACAGAAATGAGTAACTGCATATTATTTTCAACTGATAGTTTTGTAATATTTTATCTGTATTTATATCTGGACTAATCTTTAATTCCTGTCCTGCATGATTAGTTAAGGATGTATGCAACAACTTTGGCATGCAGATGCTTAAATGCCATATCGCCACCATTTCCTCTAAAAACAGCTTTCAAATACTTTAGATGCAGACCAAGGCTTTCATATATGGCATTCAGTTATAATTCAAGTTTGTTAACCTTTCAGTGATGAGAGGAGAATAGAGTAGTCATCCCCAGCATATCTGGTTCGTTTACATAGTTCAGGAAGAAGTCTGTTCCACCACAGAGCCTAATTAAATCAAAAAATAAAATTCACAGAAGAAAAGTAAGTTAGTGGTGACTATGAATAGGACGTGAACACAAAATTTTAATAAGTACTTTGAACTTACATCAAAGATAGTAAAAAGTGGTTCAAGTGGAGATGGAGCTAGTAATTAATTAGTCTCTGTATAGTGCTTTGAAATGAAATGTTTTCAAACTTCAACATGATCCTTTTTTTACTCAGCAAATTAAGGTGAGGCTAGCACCCCCTAGTGCCATGAAAGAAAAGGCTGTGCCTATTTCTGACAGTGTGCATGTAGTTTGGACAAAATACAAACCCACCATTAGTGCAGTCTTAAGTTAAGGTAAGATTATGATTATGGCTTTAACAAATAAGTTAAGTCTAGGGTTGCCAGGTGTCCGGTTTTGAACCGGACAGTCCAGTATTTGAGCTGTGTGTTCGGGAAACAAATTGAGAAAATATAAATGAGAAAATATAGATGTCCGGTATTTTCTAAATAAGATGTACATAAGAATGGCCGTAGTGGGTCAGACCAAAGGTCCATCTAGCCCTGTACCTGTCTGATGACAATGGCCAGCACCAGGTGCCATCCTTCTCCAGCCTCTGACAAACAGAGGCCAGGGACACCATTTCTATCCCCTGGCTAATAGCCTTTTATGGACCTAACCTCCATGAAATTATCTAGCTTCTCTTTAAACTCTATTATAGTCCTAGCCTTCACAGACTCCTCTGGCAAGGAGTTCCACAGGTTGACTACACGCTGTGTGAAGAAGAACTTTCTTTTATTAGTTTTAAACCAGCTACCCATTAATTTCATTTGGTGACCTCTAGTTCTTCTATTATGGGAACTAATAAATAACTTTTCTTTATCTGCCCTCTCTACACCACACATGATTTTATATACCTCTATCATATCCCCCCTCAGTCTCCTCTTTTCTAAACCTCTCTTAATATGGGACCCGTCCCAAACCCCTAATCATTTTAGTTGCCCTTTTCTGAACCCTTTCCAAGGCCAAAATATCTTTTCTGAGGTGAGGAGACCACATCTGTACACAGTATTCAAGATGTGGGCGTACCATAGTCTTATACAGGGGAAGTAAGATATTCTGGGTCTTATTTTCTATCCCTTTCCTAATAATTCCTAACATCCTATTTGCCTTTTTGACCACCGCTGCACACTGCGTGGAAGTTTTCAGAGAACTGTCCACGATAACTCCAAGATCTCTTTCCTGATTTGTCGTAGCCAAATTAGCCCCCATCATACTGTACGTATAGTTGGGGTTATTTTTCCCGATGTGCATTACTTTACACTTATCCACATTAAATTTCATTTGCCATTTTGTTGCCCAATCACTCAGTTTGGTGAGATCTTTTTGGAGTCCCTCACAGTCTGCTTCTGTCTTCACTATCCTAAACAGTTTGGTAGCACCCGCAAACTTTACCACCTCACTGCTTACCCCTTTCTCCAGATGTAATGTAGATTGTGATGTAATGTCAAGTGTGTCCTGTATTTTTGTTGAAACCATCTGGCAACCCTAGTTAAGTCTCTCATTGTAGCTGTGTGCAGTGTAGATAAAAGTGCTGCTATGAGGACTTTATACTTTTATGTTTCTTGACCTTACCTCTCTATCTGCAATAATCTTAAAGTTGCAATAAATAAAAAGTTGGATTTCAGTTTTAATAGTTTTGATCACAGGCCAAAAGGAGCATACATGACCCCACTATATTGACTGGGGTTCCAGCATCTCTGCTTGCAAGAGTGTCTCCCCACCTTTGCTCTGTTCAGCAGTTGTGTCCTCTATTAAGTGAACCCATTTTTCACAGCGAAGGGAGGCAAACAGCAGGGTCCCCCCGACATGTGTACTGGGACCAATGCTGTTCAGCACATTCATAAATGATCTGGGAAAGTTTGCAGATGGTAACTATCTTGAGTTAACTAGTTTTGTAAGTCCAAAAGCTGACTGTGAAGAAAGACAGAGATCTCACAAAACTGGGGGACTGGGCAACAAAATGGCAGATGAAATTCAATATTGATAAGTATAAAGCAATACGCACTAGAGAACATAACCCCAGCTGTACATACAAAAAATAATGGGGTCTCAATTAGCTGTTACCACTCAGGATCTTTGCGTTGTTATGGATAGTTCTCTCAAAACATCTGCCCAGTGAGCAGAATTTTAAGTTATAAATGTAAGAAAACACTAAGAAGCAGATAATACAGAAGATATCATAATGCCACTATATAAAATAAGAATTAGACAAGCTTATGGAGAATAGATGCATCAATGGCCAGCATGGTCAAGGAAGCAACCCCATGCTCTAGGTGTCCATAAACCCCTGTGCCAGAAGCTGGAACTGGATAAAAAAGGACAGGTCACCTGATAATTGCTAGCAGTTAATTGGAATGGAATGGGGAAAAATCATGGAAGTACTACTGGAGCCTTGACCAGGACTGGAGAGATCAAGTTATTCCTCAAACCTTATTATAGGCCCTGGGGGAAAGAAACAGGAAAGGAATCAAGCTCCCTAACCCCTCTCATCAGTGGTACAACAGCAGGCAATAAGATTATGGTTCAGATATTATTAGGGAGCAGGAAACATATTTTGTTATGATGTTTTGAGACATTAATAATGATCATTTTCTTTTAATGTGGAAAGAAGGACCCTGGGTACTGCTGGAACAAAGAGGCCTTTTGACAGTGGGGACGGCCCTGGTCAGGACGACAGCCCCGGCCAGCGACAGTGGGCCAGCGGCTGGAAGTGCAGCCCTAGCCTGGGCTGGCGGCAGAGGGACTAGCAGTTGGAAGCACAGCCCTGGATGAGGCCAGGAGCACAGCCCCAGCTGGTGGCAGTTGGGCCAGCAGCTGGGATCATAGCCTCAGCAGAGCCCAGTGGCTGGGCTGATGGATGGGAGGGGAGCCTTTAACTCCCCTGGTCCAGAAAATTCCCTGATTCGGGACCGCTCAGGTCCTGAGGATGCCAAACCAGAGAGGTCCAACCTGTAGAAAATATCACATCTGCAGGGTAAAACCAATCTAGAAAATCTTAGCCCAAAGAGTTTTTCAGAAAGAGGGTCTATAATGAAATGACATATATAATCAATATTTCCAAGTATAAATAACTTTAAACCAGAGCATTTGCAGCAAGAACTACCCTCACAAAAACATTCAAGCAAAAATGAGACATTTATATGAATGTGACTTGAACTCCGTCAATGAAATCTATGAATTTTAGGAGTAACGATGAAACCTTGTCTCATTAAACATGTGTATTGCAGCTGTCTAAGCAATGTGTATTTATGACTGCCAATGGTACAACACTTAGGAAAAGAGGGCCCAATTCTGCTCTCACTAAAGTCAATGGGAGTTTGGCCATAAAATCCAATGCAAGCAGTTTCAGGCTCTGAGTTAAGGAAGGGAGTTTCAACTTTAATAGAAATCTGTGCCATGTGATTATCTATGTAGGGCAGTACTAATTCTTCCATGAACAGCTAACAACTAGTGAAAACAAACAGACAGACAGAAAGACAATAAATAACTAGATTAGTATTTTAAAAGCTCACCCGATTTTCATCTTTCAGCTCATGCTGAGCATACGGTATGAGTGCTTCAGGACACTTCTCTAGGAGCTTGTCAATGGATTTCTCATACTCTCCTGCCCGAGTAGTGCATAGAACATGGACACTGAGACCATCATTACTGTCTTCTGATAACAGTTCCAAGAAAGGCAGAACTGAAGCTACATCGACCGATGGACCACATAAGAGAGACTGAGGACAAGAGGAAAACTTGCCATTTGTATTTCAAATAGACAAAATACTTGCAAGTGCACCACATTAATTTAAAAAGGAATAGTTTTAAAGTCAGATACTGCTTGGTTAAACAATTAGGCCAAAATACTTATTAGAATGAAAGAATATGTAACTATTATTTACATAACCCTTTTGATCATTTCCTATTCCACCATTTTCACAATTACTCTTTCAAGAATTCAGCTTGACTGACAGAAGTACTGTTGTAGCAACAACTTGACATCATATCTACATTTGTCAGCAACACACTGAGCTGTTTAGAAACAGGTTTAAACAAACAATCTTACTTCATTTAGCCCCAATGCAAACTAAACTTTGCCCACCCTAAGAATCAAAATCACCTAAGAATTTATGCTGGATTGTTAGATCATTGTAAACAAATCCTCCACTAAACCTAGTGTCATTCCTGTATTCAGTCACAAGAGCTGCCATTAGTTTACAAAAAAGTACACAGGCTTGGCATTGACAGTTCATCCCTAAAAACCTTTGATAAAAAATTACTGCCTTTCGCCACCTAAGAAAAGACATTACTCAATTTACTATGTGGCCCTCTGTGACCGGCCATTGTAAGCACCCTCTGGCAGCTACCCTCAAGGACTGCTCTGAGGGGGGATACAAGCTCAGCTCAGAAGTTGGAAGCTCTGACTGGGGGACTGGGCAACAAAATGGCAGATGAAATTCAATATTGATAAGTATAAAGCAATACGCACTAGAGAACATAACCCCAGCTGTACATACAAAAAATAATGGGGTCTCAATTAGCTGTTACCACTCAGGATCTTTGCGTTGTTATGGATAGTTCTCTCAAAACATCTGCCCAGTGAGCAGAATTTTAAGTTATAAATGTAAGAAAACACTAAGAAGCAGATAATACAGAAGATATCATAATGCCACTATATAAAATAAGAATTAGACAAGCTTATGGAGAATAGATGCATCAATGGCCAGCATGGTCAAGGAAGCAACCCCATGCTCTAGGTGTCCATAAACCCCTGTGCCAGAAGCTGGAACTGGATAAAAAAGGACAGGTCACCTGATAATTGCTAGCAGTTAATTGGAATGGAATGGGGAAAAATCATGGAAGTACTACTGGAGCCTTGACCAGGACTGGAGAGATCAAGTTATTCCTCAAACCTTATTATAGGCCCTGGGGGAAAGAAACAGGAAAAGAATCAAGCTCCCTAACCCCTCTCATCAGTGGTACAACAGCAGGCAATAAGATTATGGTTCAGATATTATTAGGGAGCAGGAAACATATTTTGTTATGATGTTTTGAGACATTAATAATGATCATTTTCTTTTAATGTGGAAAGAAGGACCCTGGGTACTGCTGGAACAAAGAGGCCTTTTGACAGTGGGGACGGCCCTGGTCAGGACGACAGCCCCGGCCAGCGACAGTGGGCCAGCGGCTGGAAGTGCAGCCCTAGCCTGGGCTGGCGGCAGAGGGACTAGCAGTTGGAAGCACAGCCCTGGATGAGGCCAGGAGCACAGCCCCAGCTGGTGGCAGTTGGGCCAGCAGCTGGGATCATAGCCTCAGCAGAGCCCAGTGGCTGGGCTGATGGATGGGAGGGGAGCCTTTAACTCCCCTGGTCCAGAAAATTCCCTGATTCGGGACCGCTCAGGTCCTGAGGATGCCAAACCAGAGAGGTCCAACCTGTAGAAAATATCACATCTGCAGGGTAAAACCAATCTAGAAAATCTTAGCCCAAAGAGTTTTTCAGAAAGAGGGTCTATAATGAAATGACATATATAATCAATATTTCCAAGTATAAATAACTTTAAACCAGAGCATTTGCAGCAAGAACTACCCTCACAAAAACATTCAAGCAAAAATGAGACATTTATATGAATGTGACTTGAACTCCGTCAATGAAATCTATGAATTTTAGGAGTAACGATGAAACCTTGTCTCATTAAACATGTGTATTGCAGCTGTCTAAGCAATGTGTATTTATGACTGCCAATGGTACAACACTTAGGAAAAGAGGGCCCAATTCTGCTCTCACTAAAGTCAATGGGAGTTTGGCCATAAAATCCAATGCAAGCAGTTTCAGGCTCTGAGTTAAGGAAGGGAGTTTCAACTTTAATAGAAATCTGTGCCATGTGATTATCTATGTAGGGCAGTACTAATTCTTCCATGAACAGCTAACAACTAGTGAAAACAAACAGACAGACAGAAAGACAATAAATAACTAGATTAGTATTTTAAAAGCTCACCCGATTTTCATCTTTCAGCTCATGCTGAGCATACGGTATGAGTGCTTCAGGACACTTCTCTAGGAGCTTGTCAATGGATTTCTCATACTCTCCTGCCCGAGTAGTGCATAGAACATGGACACTGAGACCATCATTACTGTCTTCTGATAACAGTTCCAAGAAAGGCAGAACTGAAGCTACATCGACCGATGGACCACATAAGAGAGACTGAGGACAAGAGGAAAACTTGCCATTTGTATTTCAAATAGACAAAATACTTGCAAGTGCACCACATTAATTTAAAAAGGAATAGTTTTAAAGTCAGATACTGCTTGGTTAAACAATTAGGCCAAAATACTTATTAGAATGAAAGAATATGTAACTATTATTTACATAACCCTTTTGATCATTTCCTATTCCACCATTTTCACAATTACTCTTTCAAGAATTCAGCTTGACTGACAGAAGTACTGTTGTAGCAACAACTTGACATCATATCTACATTTGTCAGCAACACACTGAGCTGTTTAGAAACAGGTTTAAACAAACAATCTTACTTCATTTAGCCCCAATGCAAACTAAACTTTGCCCACCCTAAGAATCAAAATCACCTAAGAATTTATGCTGGATTGTTAGATCATTGTAAACAAATCCTCCACTAAACCTAGTGTCATTCCTGTATTCAGTCACAAGAGCTGCCATTAGTTTACAAAAAAGTACACAGGCTTGGCATTGACAGTTCATCCCTAAAAACCTTTGATAAAAAATTACTGCCTTTCGCCACCTAAGAAAAGACATTACTCAATTTACTATGTGGCCCTCTGTGACCGGCCATTGTAAGCACCCTCTGGCAGCTACCCTCAAGGACTGCTCTGAGGGGGGATACAAGCTCAGCTCAGAAGTTGGAAGCTCTGGCACAGGCAGAGAGCACAGCTGATTGGCAAGGGGAGGGGCTATCACTGAGCAAGCAGCTAAATGGAGCTAGCTGCCTGCTTGTTCTGAGGAGCTCCCAGAACTGGTAAAGAGGGAGATATGGAGACAATTAGTTGCTGGGAGATAGGGAGTGTGTGAATAAGTTAGTAATTAGCTTATGAGGAATCAGGGGAGGGAAGTTTAGAGCATCCCTCTGCAGGAGGAGAGAGAGGCAGAAATTCAACACTCTCAAGTCTCTTGGGAAGGGGGAGATAAGGGGCTGACTGCATGAGGTAAGTGGGGGAAGAGAGGAGGTGGTACTGGCATCTGTGCAGTGAGGCAGAAGCAGGGGGCAATTTGTTTGGGGTGTATGACTAGCTGAAGTCCTCTCTGACTGGGTTGGGGGGGGAGGGAGCAGGCTGCAAGGGAAGCGTGTGTGCCAGGACATTTGCATGATTGCATTTCAAACAGAACACCACTTGTCATCACCAACAGCCCACAACTTAAACCCCTGCAACGTCTTATCCACAATCTACAACCTATCCTGGAAAATGACCCCTCATTCTCTCAGGCTTTGCTGCCATAGGCGAGGACTGGCCTACAAACAACCCCCAACCTCAAACTAATTCCTTCCAGTAACCATTCAGCACACCTCCATCATAATCATTCAGGAACTCACCCCTACAATCAGCCCCAGTGCCAACTCTGTCCACATATCTACACAAGCGATTTCATCACTGCAGCCACTACATCAGGGGCTCATTTAACTGCACATTCACTAATGTGATCTATGCTATCAAATGTCAGCAATGCCCCACTGCCATGTTTATTGGCCAAACTGGACAGTCTCTATGGGAAAGAACTAATGGACACAAATTAGATATCCGAAAAGGCAACACACAGAAACCTGTTGGAGAACAATTTAACCTTCCTGGGCACTCAGTGGATCTCCAAGTAACTGTGTTGTATCAGTCCAATTCCATAAGCCAAATACACAGGGAAGGGTGGGAACTTAACTTCATTTACAAGTTTGATTCTTATAAAAATGAAATGTACAGAGATATCGGCTGGCTCACACACTACTTTCCACATCCTAATGACTTAACTAAACAATGGAGATGCTAATTGTTCTTATCAGCCTCTTGTAACTACTTGAACAATCTATTCATTTTTTTCTCCTTTTTTCCTCCTTCCCTCCACTTCCCTTATTTATTCCTGGATCTGGACTTTTAATACTCCAGTCATCTGAAAAAGTGGGTTATGCCTACGAAAGCTCATGATACCATCTACATATTTTGTTAGTCTTTAAGGTGCTACTAGACTATTTGTTGTTTAAGTTTTTCTAGTTACAGACTAACTTGGCTAAACCTTTGAAACTTCAAACAAAGTTTGCATAGGTGTTAATGGCTTAAGCTTAGAAAGAAAAATATTATTTTAACAGAATGTGTTTGGAGTGCTTCTGTCGACAAAGAGCATCTAGACTACATCCAGTTCTATCAACAAAGCAAGCCACTTTGTCGACATAACAGTGTGGACGCAAAGGGCAGTGTAGATGAAATAATGCCTTCTATCGAAAGAACTCTGTCGATAAAAGGCGTTATTCCTAGTAGAATGAGGTTTACATATGTAGACAAAACTGCTGAGTTTTGTTGACGTTATGTCGACATAACTCAAAGGCAGTGTAGACACAGGTATAGTTTTGTCGACAAAAGTCCACTTTTGTCGACAAAACCCTGAAGTCTAGACACACCCTAAAATTCTAAACAATGATTTTTTTAAAAATCTGTGTTGCTAATACTTGTATTGCATGTATTAATACAATCTTTGCTATTTGATAGGATTCTGGCTCTTATAAGTCAGAAGTATCAAGTACTAGCGTGAGCCGTTAGAAAGTTTGATACATACTCCAAGGGTAGTGTTAATTTTCTTTTTTATTTGATTTCATATTCAATATCGTAAGCACTGCTCCTTGTTAAATATCCCTTGTTTTAATATATTTTCTTCCACCTATATGGACTGCTTAAATGATGTGTGTGTGTTTTGTTTACACTGGTGGTGCACATCCACACTACCTTAATATTGGTGGTGCACATAAGAAATTTCAACCCGCCCAAAAGAAATTTCAACCCACCCAAGGATAGAAAATGTTAGAGGGAACACTGGATATAAGCCTCTGCTGCTTTGGATCCTCATGTTTCAAGCTCCCACAGCAGCGATGGGCAACCCAGACTAGTGAGTGAACTACACGAGTAGTCCCTCCTTCATCTTAGTGGGCCACAAGACTGTTGTAACCAGATGATCTCACGGAATAGGGGAGCTTTGCTACCGGCTCTTGGGTATCTAGAATTTGCAGGATGTGCTGAATGAACCCTAGCAGCACTTGGAATGAATTCAGAAGGCACGCATGGATCTCACAATGTTGTGTGCAATCAGCATGCACTTCACTTCATGTGCTCTTGCTTTACATGCATGTCACTTTAGGAATATTGGTAGGAAAAAAAACTACACAGACAGAAACCAGTGGAATCTGGTAACCCTGTGCATGGGCAACAGTAAACAAAATGGGTGCAACAGAGAACCCTGATGTTCCACATACAGTCCACTGGCCACAGGTTGCCAGTAGACAGCAGCCCTGGTTCCTCCTTCAACCTCTCTGGCATGTTTCACGGACGCTGACCTATGGTTACTCCTTGGAAATGGTACCATTAGTCCACTTGCCCTAGGCCTTGTGTGGACCCAACACTCTGCTCCCCCAGAATTCCACCCAAGCTGGATGGTTTACAGTTTACAGTGATGCTTCTGGTTTACAGTTTTAGTTCTCTCAGGGGCCACAGTAGTAGTGAAACAATCACACAAACTGCATATTCTAACACCCTTATGCTCTTTTTCTATACACCTCATACAAAACAGTAAACATCTGAAACCAAAATGTCCCTCACTTTCTATTTCACTCTTCTCTTATGAATCCTTGGGGAATCACCTGTATCCAGGAAGGAAAGCAGGTAGCATAGCCCTCCTCAGGCAGGCTGTTGTATGCTAGTTGGTCTCCCTTTCTCATGAGTCCCTTATGCAGCTTATGTGATCTTGCTCTCTCTTAGTGCACGCTATCTTTTCCTGTGTGTTTATTTAACCCCCTCCTGGACACTTGACTTGTTTTGTTTTCCTCCCAGTAACTTCTATTACTCTCACCTTCCTTGCTCCTTTCTGGAGTAAACTGATTTTCTAAGGACAGTTCAGATATTTGCACCTAAATAGGGTTAAGTCCTCAGTATCTTCTTACTGTATCTGCCTGATGCGTGCGTGCTACAGGCTCTATCCACAATCACAGAATCATAGAATACTAGGACTGGAAGGGACCTCGAGAGGTCACTGAGACCAGTCCCCTGCCCTCATGGCAGGACCAAGTACTGACTAGACCATCCCTGACAGACGTTTATCTAACCTACTCTTAAATATCTCTAGAGATGGAGATTCCACAACCTCCCTGGGCATTTTATTCCAGTAATCACCCTTAGAGTTAGGAAGTTTTTCCTAATGTTCAACCTAAACCTCCCTTGCTGCAGTTTAAGCCCATTGCTTCTTGTCTTATCACAGGCCAAGGAGAACAATTTCCCCCCCTCCTTCCTGTGACACCCTTTTAGATACCTGAAAACCACTATCAGTCTTCTCTTTTCCAAACTAAAAACCCCAATTCCTTCAGCCTTGCCTCATAGCTCATGTTTTCAAGACCTTTAATCATTTTTGTTGCTCTCCTCTGGACTTTCCCCATTTTCTCCACAGCTTTCGTGAAATGTGGTGCCCAGAAGTTGACATAATACTCCAATTGAGGCCTAATCAGTGCAGAGTAGAGCTGAAGAATGACTTCTTGTGTCTTATTCACAACTCTTCTGTTAATGCATCCCCGAATCATGTTTGCTTTTTTTGCAACAGTGTCACCCTGTTGACTCATATTTAGCTTGTGGTCCTCTATAACCCCTAGATCCCTTTCTGCCGTACTCCTTCCTAGACAGTCGCTTCCCATTCTGTACGTGTGAAATGGATTGTTCCTTCCTAAGTAGAGTACTTTGTATTTGTCCTCATTAAACTTCATCCTGTTTACCTCAGACCATTTCTCCAGTTTGTCCAGATCATTTTGAATTATGACCCTATCCTTCAAAGCAGCTGCAACCCCTCCCAGCTTGGTATCATCTGCAAACTTTATATGCGTACTTTCTATGCCAATATCTAAATCGTTGATGAAGATATTGAACAGAGCCGGTCCCAAAACAGACCCCTGCGGAACCCCACTTGTTATACCTTTCCAGCAGGATTGAGAACAATTAATAACTACTCTCGGAGTATGGTTATCCAGCCAGTTATGCACCAACCTTATAGTAGCCCCATCTAAGTTGTATTTGCCTAGCTTATTGATAAGAATATCATCGGAGACCATATCAAATGCCTTACTAAAGTCTAGGTATACCTCATCCACCGCTTCTCCCTTATCCACAAGACTCATGATCCTGTCAAAGAAAGCTATCAGATTGGTTTGATATGATTTGTTCTTTACAAATCCATGCTAGCTGTTCCCTATCACCTTTCCACCTTCCAGATGTTTGCAGATGATTTCCTTAATTACTTGCTTCATTATCTTCCCTGGAACAGAAGTTAAACTAATTGGCTGTTAATTCACACCTCCAGATCAGCTGCTAGAAGTGGGCCTCATCCTCCTTGATTGGATCCACCTCATCATCTCCAGCCTGATCCTGGCCTGCATATTTATACCTGCCTGTAGAAATTTCCACTACATGCATCTGACAAAGTGGGTCTTTGCCCACGAAAGCTTATGCTCCTACACTTCAGTTAGTCTATAAGGTGCCACAGGACTCCTCGCCGCTAATTGGCTGTAGTTTCCTGGGTTGTTCTTGTTTCCCTTTTTATAGATAGGCATTACATTTGCCCTTTTCCAGTCTTCTGGAATCTCTCCTGCCTCCCATGATTTTCCAAAGATGATAGCTAGAGGCTCAGAAACCTCCTTAATCAGTTCCTTGAGTATTCTAGGATGCATTTAATCAGGCCCTGGTGACTTGCAGGCATCTAACTATTCTAGGTGATTTTTAAATTGTTCTTTTTTTATTTTATCTTCTAAACTTACCCCCTTCCCACTAGCATTCACTATGTTAGGCATTCCTACAGACTTCTCGGTGAAGACTGAAACGAAGAAGTCATTAAGCATCTCTGCCATTTCCAAGTTTCCTGTTATTGTTCCGCCCTCTTCACTGAGCAGTGGGCCTACCCTGTCCTTGGTCTTCCTCTTGCTTCAAATGTATTTATAAAAAGTCTTCTTGTTTCCCTTTATTCCTGTAGCTAGTTTGAGCTCATTTTGTGCCTTTGCCTTTCTATCTTGCCCCTGCATTCCTGTGTTGTTTGCCTATATTCATTCTTTGTAATTTGTCCAACTTTCCATTTTTTTATATGGCTCCGTTTTATTTTTAGATCATGCAAGACCTTGTGGTTAAGCCTCGGAGGTCTTTTGCCATATTTTCTATCTTTCGTACACAGCGGAATAGCTTGCATTCGGGCACTTAATAACGTCCTTTTGAAAAACTGCCAACTCTCCTCAGTTGTTTTTCCCCTCAGTCTTGATTCCCATGGGACCTTACCTATCAGCTCTCTGAGCTTACCAAAATCCACCTTCCTGAAATTCATTGTCTCTATTTTGCTTTTCTCCCTTCTACCCTTCCTTATAATTGTGAACTCTATGATTTCATGATCACTTTCACCCAAGCTGAAATGATGAACCCAACATACAAGGAGCATGCATGACACAGCAGATTTTCATAAATTATTTCACAATATCAATCAGAATTTGTAAGTTGTCCAGAGGTAGCTTCAAATGATCACATTCTTAAAAGTACTTCTGTGTTGGTGCAAACCCTCTCAATACCAAGAAAGATTCATTTCACGCTGTTTATTCTTCGCACAACATCCAAAACTTCCTCTCCTTTCTGGCCACTAAACTACCTTAATCCATATTAAGGATGTTAAATTTAGATTAATGGGTTAATTGAATAGTTGATGCAATTTGCATCTACTATTCAATTGGTAGATAAGGGTGCCTCTGCCTCTGAATTGTAGCAACAGCCTCAGGGCTGTTGCTACACTTCAAAGGCAAAAGTGCAGTGGGGAGCATGGGACCAGTGGGGGGACTTAAGTAGTTCCCCGCTGACCCTGTGCTCCCCGCGGCATTTCAAAGAGGCAGCACCGCATGGACGCCGCATGGGGTCCACCTGGCGCAGCCACTTTGAAGCACCTCCTTCACTTCCCCCCCTTGCTGCCTCTTTCTTCTTGCACTTGCTTATCGGACAGCCGACTGGTCATTCACATACCTAATCCATATAGCATGGCAAGACATGTGTAATATACCACTCCTGAACACCCTATCTTGGCTGGTGATAGGACTAGATAGATAGAGAGAGAGATTTGACATTTCAAAATAGTTTTGTTCCAATTTGAAATGAAAACCAAAAGTTTCAAAATTCTCTGAGAAAGTCCTGAAGTGGTCTGCCTCACAGGCAGCCTAACAGCCTGGCTGAACAGGACCCTGAAATCCTAGGAGTCCAGGTAGCTGTGAAGCTATGAGCTAGCTGCTACAAAGTTCTTGGCTCCCAATTAGCCCCCAAAACAGGCTGCTGAGGAGCCAGGATGCCAAGCTGACAGGAAGCCTCACACATTTCTAATAGAGGCCTGACTGCTTCCCATCAGACCTTCACAGAAATCAAACCACCTCAGAAAGTTTTGATTTTAACAAAAGGGCACTTTCCATTGGAAAAATGTTCTTTTGGAGAATTGCTGATCAGCTCCACTCAGGATCAAGTTCAGGTCTCCTCCTCACCACAAAAGTGCTCAGACATCAGCACGTGTCCAGGGTCCCTCAGACAGAAAAAGTATACTAAAAACTCTATCCTCTCCACCCACTTGCACTTGTACCCATTCTGGCAGCACTCTCTACAAAGCTTGAAGAAAATCCAGTTGCTCCAACCAAGTCAAATATTAATCTCTATTCACATGTGTAATCGAACAGCCACTAAGCAAGGAAACAAATTTAAATGGTTGCTTGATTGAAGAAATGAAATCCAGTTTTACACAAATTAAGGCAAATACAAAAAAGTTGAAGAAAAAATAGAGACATTCACAATTCAGCAAACTCTTTTGCACACAAAAGTTTGAAGGAACAATTCTTGATACTTAAAGGTAAGGATATGCTTAGGAGTAGGGGCCTCAGAGCGAAGATAGAAGGGCATCATACCTGTACTTTTGAAAGATCTTCAGGATTCTTATCACATGCAGGTCCCAATGACATCATGAAGGTCACCCAAGGGAAAATTAACCCATAATGATTACAGGAGTTTATCTAGAAAAGTTTCAAATCAATATGGTCACATATGAAACCCATTCCAGTGAAGGACATTTCTAAATAAAGGATGCCATTTCAGAAAAGTTGCTACAGTTTCTATCTTGGGTAACTATTGAAACTAGAATAGTTGAATGAAGTACACTTTGAAGCCTAATATTCAATGGTCCAATGATTTATTTCACATTTGTTAGCCAGAAACCTCTCCTACAACCATCAAACAATGCAAGGCTTTAGCTGTTCACTCAATGCCTTTGCTACTCCATTAGTACCCTATTAAAATTACTATGTGAGCAGTTCAGATGGCACCTTCCCCTATTGTTTCTCAGTTAATACATCTAAAACTATGTTAGATTCTCAACGCAAAGGGCAGGGAAATCCAAGTTCTCCTAAAGTAACATCTCTCATTTAGCTCCAGATTAAAGATAACCAAAATCCATGGGACTTTTTCAGGACAAAGTTCTAACTATTGTAAAGAATGTACATGTGTTGAGAGTCAAGTTCATCCTTGAAAAACTGCCATGTCAAACAATAGGTAAATAACTTCACATCAGTACCCCTGCATTAAGGACCTGTTAATCAAAAGACAGTAATTCTTTGCAAGAATTACTATTTGATAACTCAATATGTATACTTATCTGCTCGCATTTCACATTACTTTTAAGGACAATTTATCCAGAATTGAAGCATTCCAATTTGGTTTTATGGCCATTCCTCTCACCCATGTCCTCGCCCACCTCCATCCCCACAGTCTTTCATGCAAATGTATATGTACACTGTTATAGTTACCAGATCCTCTGTTGTTTTCAGTGGCTTGGAATCAGGAAGCTGTTTCCTTGATAGTCTCCAAATGTACTGTGAAGTAAGCTTGAACAAAAGCTCCGGGAGTATTTCTCTCTCGGGACCTGCTACAAGGAGGGCTTCCCAGAAGTCTACTAATAGCTGAGGGGTAGTATCTTCATTCTTCCCACAAAGCATCTGAGTACCACAGAAAATTCACTTATCAATAAAAATCAAGATCACTATTACATTGTCTCATTGTTTACTTGTACTTCCCTGTCTGTCTATATCCAGCACTACCATATCTTAAATTGCAAACTCTTTGGGGTCAGGAGACTGTCTTTGAATGGTACCTATCATGGGGGGGGGGAGGGCGCTTGTAGGTGCTATGGTAATATACATGATAACAGCAACAGAAATCTGAAGGAACAAAAATTTCCATGGAGATGATTACATTTCCCTCTACTTGTTGAGTGCGTTCCTATTTTTGTTTAAAGCTGATATCTTTCTAATACATGTGATCCCAAACACTATGCTGAAGGACACCACCAAAGAGAATGCAACATATTTGAACTCTTTGATTCCTTAATATATAGGCTTGGTTTGCAAGAAACATTAGTAAGTTTTTGTTTTGCTATTAATGGACAATGCAACGTGTTTGAAGAGACAAAATGTTGAAGCCATCTGAAATATGTCCACACCTAAGCAAGTCTCATTCTATCAGAAAGTTGGGGCTAACGTAAAGGAAACACTCTCCAGTTCACTTGCCAGTAGGAGTTAATCAGACGGTCCTATCAGGAGTTTGGAAGACTGTAACAAGGGGGACCCCATCACCATGGGACCTTTTACTAAGCTTTTAAATGCTGGTTGGACAGGTTGGGGACCTCGATTACTGCATTCACATTTAACTCCTATGCTTGAAACCAATTACAGTGATGGTTTTCAGTGACTTGGTAACTACATTCACCTACACTCATGAAATTAAAGATATTAGTGAATACTTATGATGAAAATTTAAAATTATGGAAGAAAGACCTCAACTTGCCTGGGGTGGGCAGAGGGAGGTCATTTGGCTCTAAAATGATTGAGACCCCTTATAATGAAGAATAGACAAGTTGTGTGGAGCAAAGAACTCCTTAGTTCTAATTCCTTCTCTAACACAGGTTTCTTTTGAGGTTGGGGATAAACCACTTGTTCAAGTTTTTCCATCTGGAATGTGTGGATGGCTCATCTCTCTCCCAGGCTTGTAAGAGTTAATTACTTCATTTGTACAATGTTTTTGAATATGTGCATAGAAGATATATAGCATCACATCTGACTTGATACCCTTTAGAAAAGGATTTATAAACTATAATATTAATCCTGGGTGCAATTTTCAGAAGGGGCCTAAGAAAGTTATTTACCCAACTCCTATGAAATTTTGCTTCTCTCTCTCAGATGCCTTTGAAAATCCTAGGCTCCAAGATCAATGTGTGCTCAATTGAACTGACAGAAGCAAAACATAAAGATAAATTTAATGCATTTCTTTGGCTGAATTTAATGGCTGGGCTATTCACAAAAAGAATCAGTTTCTTACTCCAGCTAAAATTTTTACCAAGTTTGGCCATTGAGTTTTCATAACGTTTTTCCTGCTGTAACTCCAAGGACACTCTGTTTTGGTCATCTCTAGTTAACACCAGGCATGGGCCTTATAGAAGCTAAATCAAAACCAAAAATGCAACAACCCTGCGAATAGACAAACCTTGAAATAAGAATCTGCTTCTTCCAATTCAATTTTATTGTTCTCATGCAAAGCCAACATCGAAGCCACCAGGAACCCAGGCTGTGTCTCCTTCAGGTGAATGGCAAGTTCCGTTGGAACAATGCGCCCTTCTCTCTGCTGCCTCAGAAGTCTTGGTTCCCCAATAAAGCCACATGCCAGCCTCATCTACAAACACAGCCATTTACAAGTTAGGCAAAGAATTCAACCCTTCCCAAATTCAGAGCTTACTCAAGCAAGCAATTACCTGTATAAATTAGCAAACTTACTAATTTATATAGGTGAAGTACCAGGGCTTACTCAAGCAAGCAATTACCTGTATAAATTAGCAAGCTTACTAATTTATATAGGTCAAGTACCAGGACACAGGGAGTGAACTGCATCACTTGCATGGGCACTGGGGCTTTTGGCTCTGTAGAATCTTGGATCTCAGCCACACTTAAGTCACAGTGCTGCCCTACAAAGCAGGCCAATCATGCGCCTTATATGACACAAGGACTTTGCGCAGGGCTGCCATACTTTACCCTTAATTGTGTAAAATTGTATTCCCTTTGTTCTTACTCCAGTTCCATGAGTCTGACCTTCACTCACTGGATATACACAGAAAACTAGACTTAACTGTAAACCAAAACCAACGCATTGGGTGCTTTTGAAAACCCCTCTGGATTTCCAATGGGACTTGTGCTCCCAAATCAACGAGGTGATTTTGAAAAGGCTTCCTGTGAACAACAAAAATTAATTTGGAGCAGTATATACTATAACAGCCCCTTGCTTCCAGAGGTTTAAAAGGACATGTACTTCGCAATAGAAGGCTTTCAGAGAGTCAGCAAAGAATAGAAATCTTTCCAACCCTAACAGATTCAGGAAAACTACTTTTTATTTATCAGCAACTGCCATTTATGTTGCAAATGTTAATCATCATAAAATTAACCTGGCCTCTGAGGCTCTCTTAACTCTCTCAAACCCTACCTTGTGCCTAGTTTTAAATTACTACATCAATATGTTTTCATTCAGCCAGAAAGAGATGATCATGTTTTGCCATGGAAAAGATAGCAGGTGGTACTGAACAATAATATAGCTAGCGCTCTAAACACAGGAGTTCTCAAACTTCATTGCATTGTGACAACAAAAATTACTACATAACCCCAAGAGGGGGGACTGATGGCTGAGCTCGCCAGAGCCCCACTGCCCCAGGTGAGAAGCCCCAAACCTGAGCCCCTTCTTTCTGGGCAGAGAGACTTCAGTCCCAGGCTTCAGTCAAGAGCTTCAGTCCCAGGCACGAGGTCTGTAACCTGAGCCCCACTACCCTGAGCTGAAACCCTCAGGCTTCAGCCTAGGCCTTGAGCAATGGGGCTTGGGCTTCAGTGGTGGGCCCCAGCAAGTTTAAGTCATTCCTGGCAACCCCATTCCCAACCCACAGTTTGATAACTGCTGCGCTAATGTATCCTAACCTCCACACTCTGCTGTTGGGAAGTCAAGGCCAAGTATGTATTTAGTGATGGTTGTGGCAACAGTCCCAGTCTGTGATGTACCCCGGCCTTATTTTTGCCATAAATTAGACATTTATGATAGCACCTCCAAAGCCATTTTTAAACAATGTTTAAAAATACAAAAGGAGTGAGCTCACTCAAGAGCCTGGCACAGTCCAATCTCTCTTGCAATACTCACCTTTAAGAATCCTGACCAACCCTACCAACCAACTTTCAGCTTGTGGCCTTTAACCTCACACATGGGTTACATCTGTGTGAGAAACATCAATATCAGGGTTAGATTTTTAGGCAGAGTATAATGGCCTCCCTTCAAAGTGTCTATATCTATACCTCTGAAGACTGACATCAAGCCCCGCACTTTGGCGCTGCAGAGCAAGGGTGCCATTTCGAGCACGTAGTGGGGGCAGTGCGCTGGGACGTGGCTAGCTTTTCATCCCGTTCCCTGGACGCCAATGTGCATTCCTCTCACACCTGGCTGGTGAAAGGAGCTCACCAGCCAGGTGTGAGAGGAATGCACGGAATACAAGCACTTTCCCTTCACTCCCTTAGTATCTGGGGAACGGGATGAAAAGCTAGTCACATCCTGGAGTGCACGGCTGCTGCCTCCACTACGTGCCCAAAATGGTGCCCTTGTTGCAAAGGCTACTATTAGGAATGTTAAAACAATTAATGGTCTCCAATGGTGACCTCCGCTGGCAGCCAGCCATGCCAGGCTGGGGCAGCCTCAGTCATGAGGGCCCAACGGAAGTGGAGGTGGGACTCAATAGCCACAGTGGGGATGGTAGTGGTCCAGGAGGTGAGCCTGCAGTTAAAAACTCTTAAAGGAATAACCATTTAAACATCCCTAGCTATATACTCCAACTAAACATATTTATTTACTGTACTTTGATTTATAAACACTTAAATAATTTTATACTTAAATTTACTATTTAGTAAGTAAGTGATTTACTATTAAATATTATAAAAATTAAAATGTGAATCAAAGTAGTAATATTTTAATGTTACACTTCTATGAATACTAATGGGCAGTCTAGCTTCCCTGAGCAACAACCCAAACAAACTCAACACATACCTCACTGACCCACCTCTTGTCAGGCTACGTCTAGACTACGCATCCAAGGAACACGTTTGCTCTTCCACTTTTTTTCATAGAAGAGCAAATGCGCTCTTTCGGAAAGCCCTGTATACCTCATTTCACGAGGCAAAAGGGCTCCACCGAAAGAGGAGGCTTTTCCGCCATTTGGCTCCGTCTAGAGGAGGAAAATCCTCTTCTGAAAAAAAAAAAAGTGGAAAAAGCTTTTTCTGCAAAAACACCACAGTCTAGACCTAGACTCAGATGCCCACAGATCATTAAGTGTGTGGCGAAGATCAGGATTTCCCCCGTGCCATGAGACACAACCTTGCGCCAAACCAGTTGATTTGGGTTTAACAGAGAATCTGCTACCAAAAGGAAAGGCGACTACATGGGCAGCATTCTGTACCTCTGTGTAACAGTCCAGTTCATTTTTATATGCCTTGAGGTCTCCCATTTTCAAAGCCATGGCAGCTTTGGTTAGTGTCAACAGCACTGATGGCATAATCATTTCCACTTCCTGCAAAATCTCCATTGCCATCCCGGGACATACATTCTTCATGAACGGACTGCAGAGCACATGGGGCAGGTGGTTTGGTTCAGCAAGATGGAATATTTGAAGAACTTTGGCTGCTGATTCCTATTAAAATAAAAGCCATTGAAAATAATCATGACTTTCTGGATATACATTGGAATGCAAAAACAAAATTCAGCTACTAGTGTGTAGAAATTGTAAACTTGCTTACAAACATGAGGGCATATTGTAGTTGTAAGCCACAGCTCACAGTAGTAGGGGCAAAGGAACTCTACCTGACACCATGGCCCCAGAGAGATTCTGTCAACTCAACTAAGACTCCTCTGAGAGACTTGGGAGAGTAAGGATGAGGTTTCAGTACCATTTAAAGGTGGCACTTGGAGATGTGACTTGGGTTTAGTTCATTAAATTGATAAGGGTAGGGAGAAAAAAGTCTGGACCTAAATTTTCCTAGCATGCCTATATCCCCAGCCTTGGTCAAAAACCAGAAAACGTTCATGCACCATGACAGCCAAAAATACATACACATTCTTCTGATGAGAGTCCTGAACAGGAAATGTCATTGATAATCTCTTTGCGTTTTCAGAAATTACCTTTTTGGTCAGCAAAACTAAAATGGGTCCCCCTTGTGCCTCTTACATGTAAAGAAGAATAACCACGAAACAACAGATATGGAGCTTTAAGCAATGCGCCCTCTATAAGGGTCTCAAGTTGAAACAACAGATATGGAGCTTTAAGCAATGCGTCCTAAATAAGGGTCTCAAGTACTTCAGAACAGGAAATAAACAGTAGATTAAAAAGACAAAGTTCCTAGTCTTACTTTGCTTAACTCTTCATTTAAATCTTCATAAAGAGAATGATTTAAGTAAAAGATAAATCCTTTTTCATATTTCTGTGTTCCACCCTCTACCAATGAGTCTATTCTCTTCAAAACTTCAGTTATGGATAAGCCAGACATCTTGTAGTAAGGCAGCGCAAGATGGTAATCCTTTATGTCAAACCTGAAAGCAATTGGAGGGGGAAAAAGAGTTGAGGATCTTTGCAGCAATAATTTTAATTGTAAAAAGGATTTCCCCAATCTGTAAAGTGTTTGAGGCTGAAGACATTTCAGCATTCACATATTTCTAGACCATATTAAAGTCAAGACTACAAGTCTAATGAATGAAAAGTAAAACTGAGATGAAAATCTTAACACACTCTGCCAAGAGACACTATATGCAGTGCAAGTATAAAACGAAGAGACCAAGTGATCCTAAAATTGATCTAGTAGGAGAGCATCCTGGGAAACCAAAAATTAACACCTTTCAAAATACAAACCTGCTGTAACAGTCTCCTAACTGAGCACAACTTTCTCTGAATGCTGCCAGGAGTTTCTCTCTCTCTTCTGATTCCATCAGACTGGGGTCCATTAGAGCTGCTCTGACTAACAAATGAGCCTCACTTAGAAGATGGATGCAACTCTCTGTTCCAACATTTTCATATGTCTTACTGTACTCTACCTAGAACACATTAAAGAAATACTTAGGTCATTAGGTCACAAGGCAGAATGTTTACAAATAGTTTTAAAATTGTCAGAAGCCATTTTAAATCCTGATTGATTATATGCAACAGTAGGTGTGTAAATACTGGATAGGATATCAGAGCAAAGATGCATCTCAGACATCTAATCGACTTCATGGGCTACGTCTACACTGGCATGATTTTCCAGAAATGCTTTTAACGGAAAAGTTTTCCGTTAAAAGCATTTTCGGAAAAGAGCGTCTAGATTGGCAGGACACTTTTCCGCAAAAGCACTTTTTGCGGAAAAGCGTCCGTGGCCAATCTAGACGCGCTTTTCCGCAAAAAAGCCCCGATCGCCATTTTCGCGATCGGGGCTTTTTTGCGGAAAACAACTCTCTGCTGTCTACACTGGCCCTTTTGCGCAAAAGTTTTTCGGAAAAAGACTTTTGCCCGAACGGGAGCAGCATAGTATTTCTGCAAAAGCACTGACAATCTTACATGAGATCGTCAGTGCTTTTGCGGAAATTCAAGCGGCCAATGTAGACAGCTGGCAAGTTTTTCCGCAAAAGCAGATGATTTTGCGGAAAAACTTGCCAGTCTAGACACAGCCATGGTGTTTTTATCACCGAGAATCAAAAAGGAATTGAGATATACCATTTCTTTGTAAAGCTGAATGGTTGAAATAGTGTTCACGATATATAAATTCCAGCCAGGTTCTGACTCAGGTGGAGACTTGAGTTTGACACTATCAGCCTTTCTGGAACTGAAACAAGAGAAGAAAAAGATTGAAGCCATTGGTGTCCAAATAAAAATTGTGACTGAACATGGATATATATCACTGACTTACTAAACCGATAGCTGCATGAAGCGAACAGAATCAGGAACAATTCAAACACACACGCACAGACAGTTTTTAGATCCTGTCCACATCAGAAAGTTAATTTGGATTACAGTAGGAAGTGCATTAGCTATTCCTAAATAACTCTGTGTGTTGACAAGCCCACAGGCTGCAAGTTTTTGTGTACAGGAACTGCTCAGCAGATTTTTAACTAGCTGATTTACACCACTGACTTCAACAGCTGAAGATTTATACTAGATGAAGATCTGCATCTGTGTTTTCACCTACATCTCACACAGCATTCATCACATTATTATCACTTAAGATGGAGGGGCGTCAAAAAAAATTGATTTTTTTTTCTTCTCAGGTATTGTCAAGATCCCTAATATTTTGAAATTCTAGTACTCAGCGAGGTCATAACTTAGTTCACTATTTTTGGATAGTTATATTTATGCCTTTTGCTTATGTGATCTAATGTGAAATAATTTAATATATTCAGCTGAAAAGAAAGGTAACTGCTGAAATAGAGTTACATGTTTAAATCAATTTAATTGATAAATGTGCCGTACAAATAGCTCTAACAGAGAACTCATACTCTACAAGTCATTGGGGTTGCACAGCTTTAACTGAAACAGGATTCAAAAAAGAACTAGATAATCTCATGGAGGATAGGTCCATCAGTGGCTATTAGCCATGATAGGCAGAACAGTGTCCCTAGCCAATGTTCTCCAGAAGTTGGGCAACAGGGAATGGATCACTTGATGATTGCCTGTTCTGTTCATTCCCTCTGGGGCACCTGTATGAATCATTCTTATATGCAACACAGCATATTTTGGCCTAGTATTTGTTATACCTCAATACAATTATGATGTTATACCTCACTAGGCTATTTGTTCTCTGGGACAGAATTACACAGCCCTCTTCAGAATCCACTCCAACCTTTGGCATTATATGTGCCCCCAAAAACACAAGCGAATGTATGAGAACTACACCTAGTTCTGTGCTGTGATGCATCTATTTCAGTATTCTAGCATGTCACTCAAAAACTCAAATCTACCTATCATGTATTTTTAAGGTAAAAGACAGGAGGGATTTTTTTTAAAAAGCATAATTTATTTCTAATAATATAAACACAGTGTTTCTCAACTCCCCCACCCCCCTTTTTTAACAAAGTACCCCTTTTTGAAAAAAAAATTATAGGTACCCTAAGTACCTACAGTTTTCAGGCACACATTTTTTTTCTACCATTGCAACACATTTCTTTAAACAACTTAATAGTAGCTGGGTGGGTGATGAAATTTTTGGGTGTGAAAAGTACAAAAAATAATAAAATGCTGTAAAACTTAAAATGAAAATTCAGTTCTCTCCAAATTTCAGTTGAGTTGACATACCCCCCCAGACTTCTCTCAGGTAGCCCTAAGGGTACTCATACCACTGGTTGAAAAACACTGATAAAACACACTGCCTCTTTTGGAGGGTAACAATTTTTCAGTATCTTGAGTAATTTATACGTTGCATTACAGACATTTATAAGCTTTCCTCTACCCTTTCCACACTTTTCCAAGACAATCCACTGGAATAAGGACCATTTGGTGTGTTAAGACTCAATAAGAATTCATAAACTTGATATTAATTTGAAGATGAGAATAAGTAATCTAACAGGTACAGCCCTTCCATATACCCTCCTTCAATCCCCAGCATGCCAAAACTGCCTCTTTCATGAAAGTGAATACTAAAATACCCAGCACTTACAGGACCCTTCTCGAAGGCTTTCTTCTTCCAGTAATATCTTCACTATCTGCCTTAGTTAGAAGAATTATGTGGTTGCTGAAGTGACAAATAGTTTTCAGCCCTATAAAAAGCTGCATTCTTAATGCACAGATATCTAGAGACACAGGTGGGCAAGCCTATAAAGAAAATGGATTACTTTAGGGTTAAAGAACCAGAAGGTCCACAATTAACAAGTTAGAAACAAAAATCTGAATTCATAGGTAGGGTTACACTTTATAAAGCTCTAAATAGTTTATTTACAAAGTCAAGACTGAAAAAAGTTAGGAAATGTCAGAATTAATCTTGCCCTCGGAGTGATAGTTATTAAACAAATCTTTAGAAAAATAGTATCACATGTATTTCCTAATCCTATTCTTTGAAGTGGTTTCCCCAAACAATTCAGCCAATGGCAACCCAATGGAAAATTTCAGCATGAATGGCTTGAGTCTGGCAAAGTTAAAAGGGACTTTTAACAGCAGGGTACATAAAGTAAAAATATGACTTTTTTATTTAGGATTATCTTAAAATAATAATCCTTTAAAAATAAATTTAAAATGTATGACATCCTATGTTAAGGACTAAACTCACTATAAACTACCAAGCTAATTTAAAATGTTAGTATCATCAATGAGACCTCTCCAATTTTTGTATGAGCTAAAGGTTGCTACATTTTTAATCATGCAAAATATGGGGAAGACATTAACTTTTGAAGTCAATTCAAACTTTGTGAATATATCAGAATGTCACGTACTGCAGAAGTATCTATGTTATTTTCAGTCTTTACAATGGAGCAAATATTGGTATTGGGGATGTAAAATCCCTTTAAATCAGTTAAAATGTTACCTTTGTTTACTAACTCAGCTTTTTAAAAATACAACAACATTTTTGATAAACATAAACCTACTTTTTTTCCGCACCCAATATAGTTAAGGTAGCTTCATATACATTTTAAAATGGTGTTTTTGTGAAACTCCAACTGCAGTTCGACAAATCTCAAAGAAGCAGAGGAGTAAATGATCATGTAGTAAATAGGTGGATCATTTGCCATTTTCTAACATAATAAAAATTCAAATTTAAGACTGAATAAACGAACATCAAGCTATGTATGTGCTTAAAGAAATGTGTAAAGATACAGTGTACCTGCTGGTTAGCAAGTACCACCAAATTTAGTGTTAAGGCTATATTAGCTGCAAATCAACATGGTGCAGGTAAATATACTGGCGGCGGCTTGCCAGGGGCTAACCCTGGTGAACTGCCACCGTTTTATTACTCACCCCTATTCTAATGGCAAATAAGGTTTTCTACACAAGACAAACTCAGAGGCTTAATTTTCTCCTACAACACCTGAGGACCCGTCAAAAACAGCAGAGAAGAGAAGGCTTCCATGTATATTTGCCACGTCTCTTTAAGCTTCAAAAAGATTATCAGCTGTCACAAGGTAAACTCTGAACCCTGAATTCAGGTCTTGGCAGAAAAGTAGGTAATTACTGTGACAGGGTCAGGCCAGAGGGCTACAGGACAGTGGTGGACAGGAAATATATTAGCCCCATATTAAATACGTTTTTATTCCTAGGGTAGACTAACAAGGGCTGATCCAGAACCTGCTAGAATCAGTCAGAGCAATCAGGCTAATTAAAACATCTGGAACAAAATAGGAGGCTTCCAGATTCAAGGAAACCAGACTAATCAGAACACCTGGGAGCCTACTAAGACCCAGTTGAGACTGGTTTAAAAAAACTTCCCTTCTATTTGCTCAGTGTGGCTACGTCTACACTGGCCCCTTTTCCGGAAGGGGCATGTTAATTTCAGCGATCGTAATAGGGAAATGCACGGGGGATTTAAATATCCCCCGCGGCATTTAAATAAAAATGTCCGCCGCTTTTTTCCGGCTTTTAGAAAAGCCGGAAAAGAGCATCTACACTGGCCCCGATCCTCCGGAAAAAGCGCCCTTTTCCGGAGGATCTTATTCCTACTTTGAATATGTGCTGAAACTGAATAAGATCCTCCGGAAAAGGGCGCTTTTTCCGGAGGATCGGGGCCAGTGTAGACGCTCTTTTCCGGCTTTTCTAAAAGCCGGAAAAAAGCGGCGGACATTTTTATTTAAATGCCGCGGGGGATATTTAAATCCCCCG